TTTAAAAAAAATTACAGTGATGAAAATTCTGAGAGCCATAAGGACATGTTCATTTCATTATGGAAAACTTAGAATATCATCCATATAGGAACGTATCAAAGAAAAGGCAGAATTGTGATACACCTTCACGGACAGAATACGACCAGGGGTGGAGAAATGTGGGGGAAGAGGGTATAGTTCAGAATAGTCTGTAACAGTGAAACAGATGAAAATCACCATTTAATTAGTGTCCTTCAAGAGTCAGGTATTACAACTTCTTTCAATACATATGACTCTTTTGGAAATAGTATCATTTTACCTATGCAGACAATGAGGAACAGAAAATTAAGTAACCAGTCCAAAAAGCTGAATAGTTTTAGCTAGTAAAGTGGGGGAACCAAGATTCTAACCTTCATCAGGATTCAGACTCCAAAGTACATACCCTTTTTTGTTACACTGCTAACCAAAGACTTAATCTATCTCCACTTGGAAGTTCTGATCTTTGCAGAAGCCATCTTTATTTAGATGGGTTTACATTTATGGGCCATATTAGTCAATGTTTCTTGAATAACAATTTCCATTTAATCAATAAGCTAAATTTGATGTACATTCCTCCCTTGGCTTCTAAGACCTTACCCTACTCTAGTTTTACTCCCTACATACTTTCTCCATCTGCCCATTACATGCTAGTGTTCTGATAATATACAACTCTCCCTAGGAATCTCATCTACATCCAGAATCTCAACTACCACTATTAATGACGATCTCTAACTCTGCCTCTCCAACGCAAAGAAACTTCTCTTTGGTTTTCCTTGACTAACTCCTTCCAGATCAATGAATACTTAACTGTACACTCTCAAATAATACTTAGAAAATTCTAACGAGGTATTCCTCAATCATATTGTCTGCAGTTCTAGGTCAAGCATCCTTCTGATATGCCCTAGACACATCCTTATTTATCCTTATAACACTTACCATATTACATTACAAATTACGATTTATCCATTTGTCCTACCAGATAATAAGGTGCTTGAGATCTGATGCTCTTAGTCACAGTCTCCCCCATGCCCAGCATAGTGCAAGACACATAACAGGAGCTCAGATATTGACTAAACCCCTAAACAGGAGAAACAAAATTTGCTTTAAATTGAAAGTATACAATTTCTGGAAGAAATTTTCAGAGATTTTTTTTTTCAAATGAGAAAATAAGCCAAGAAAGGTAAAGTGACTTACCCAGTCAAGCCTTGGTCTCCTGAAACATAATTCTCTTCCCACAAAATCATGGTGCTTATTGATCTAAGCTTTCCATGTAGCTCCAGAAATAATACAAAAATGGTATTAAGAAAACAACCATTTCAACTTCATACTAACTCAGCTCTGGCTGGCTGTTATCAGCTGTAGAACATTCTAATGTTAATTATTACTTAACAGCTATTCTGCTCCGAATAGGCTAACCTTTAATTGAACCAGTGTTTTTACATGTCCTTCATACAAACAATAATTCAATACAATCATGCATCTCTCTGTGAAAAACAATGTGCAGGAAGTTACAATTTGTCAGTAATCAAAAAAATATACTTTAGAGCATATATTATATGCTCTTAAAATTTAATATTTGAAATAATCTGCCTTAAACCAAAATGTAATCACATTTGAGAGAGACTGAATGTGAACACTAGAGAAAAGCACTGCAACTTCAATAGGAAAATCCCTATAGTCCAAAGCTACTGTTTTCAATGGTTGCTATGTTATACTGCAATTGGGTTACCAGGCAACAACTCAGAAGCCAGGATGGCAAGCTCACTCAAGAAACAAAATCAAACCAAGAGGTATAAAGTACTCTGAGACTCAAACTTCTTTACCTTTTTATACCTTCAACTAAAGTAACTCTTTCTTTATAAGCATCAGATACAGGATTTACATAGCAAGACTAGTAAATTACCTGGACATTGTAAGTATATATTTTGAAAATATAAGTGCTTTCACAAGGCAATGGCCAGGTTTAGGTTCCTCCTAAGTCTGAATTTTAATTGAAAAGCAATTTGAAGCCACGATATGCAGAACGCATATATAATAGAGAGCAAATAACTAGGTATTTCCTGATTTTCATCATTTCCTTTATCACAGCTTAGTTAACTAAAAAGAAATACTACTATTCTTTACAGTCAGTGCTCTCTATGAACAAGAGAGAAGTCCTAATAGAAAAAATAAATATAAACTTAAGAGAATTGCTAATTTGTGACAGCCAGATGAAATAACTAACATAATTTCATAAATCAAATCTCAACCAGGTCAAAAAGTAGGATGAAAGAAGTAAAATAGCGAGATGGAGAGAGGAACAGCAGGAAGGAAGGAGCAGAGGGAGGAGGAGAGTGTGGATGGGGCACATTTTTAAAATCAAGATTCTACTAAGGAAGAACCAGGAAATTGACCAAACTCTCCAAGCCCACTGGGGAGTAGTACCAGCATTCCCAAGGGAGTCCTTACTGCTGGTATTGTCAAGGGAAATTCTCAAATATTCACACTTTCTAGGAACAGAAACTTTTCTTCTGATTCCGATATACTACCCACTCCTTAATCTCCTTTTTTAAGGTTTACTGTTGCCCTTCCTCAGTTTATCTACTCTCTCAACAATCTTCTTACTTCTACTATGCTAAAGAAGGAGAAAAAAAACAGAAATGCGCATTCATCATCTTTAAGAAACATTTATTCAACAACTTCTATTTGGAAAAGATTAAGGATACAGCTTATTGAGATCTGGAGTTCTGCCCTTAAGGAGCTTACAATCTACTTAGGATGTCAAGATAAAGATTAAAATAATAATAATACAACAGAAAGTGTAAGTATCAAATATACATATGCCTCACAAATTCATACTATTCCTACAGTATGTGTGAGCGCACAGTTAAGGTGAAACTTACAGGAAAAAATACAATTTACATTTTAAGAAAGAGGGGGAAGAAATCAGATGAGGGGGTAGAAAGACATGAAGACTAATATGGAAAGGAGAAAGTACATAGCAGGTTTAGAGGACAGTGAAGAAATCACTTTTTATTTTTATTTATTTATTTATTTATTTTGGCTGGGGCTGGGTATGAACCCATATGGGGCCAGTGCCCTACCCTTTTGAGCAATAGGCACCGCCCAAGAAATCACTAAAAAACATAAGTTTGAAAACACAAGGTAAAAGGATTTCTCAGAGTTCAGCTTAAATTTAAAATGTGAACTTCGGTTTATAGGAAATTTTTTACACATATATACACACATTCCCTAAAAGTAGACACAGGTTACATAATGTGAGGAAAGTACTTACCGAACCTAATACATTATGTATGACAAAATTAAAATCAAACTCACTCACTTTGGGCAAGAGATGACATACAGAAAAAAATAAAGAATTCTGACAATTCACTCATCTGTTAAGATTTCATTCTTCTAAGCTTCTAGAATTAGAACTTCCCAAGATGTAATGTTGATTTCAAATTACTAACACATTAACTGCCATGTGAGTTGTACTTAACTTACAATAGTTTTGAACCCAGGATACGAAATATATAACTCATCCATCTCTTGACTTATTATCTTGACCTAATAAAATACCATGGCCCCAAGGAAAAAATTTTCTAGTGTGGTAGTCCATGTGCTAAGGATTTTATTACACAACATGAGTCATTCTTATTTTTTTTCCCGTATTTGTCCTGCCCAACTCATGAGTATTTCATTATTTCAACATCAGCCTATAAAAAAGAAAAAGGGGGAAGAGAACTAAAAAATGAAGTCTCTGGGTTTCAGGAATACAGTAAGGGCATGAACAACATCAAACTTCAAATTCCAATTCCCATCACTAATAGACTGACTTCAAAAAAGTCATTCAGTCTCACTGTCTCCAATGTCCTCATACTTGAAAGGTTATTACAGCCAAAAGATCATTGAGAAAGTGTTCTGAAAACTAAAATTTTGCCATACAAATTATATCACAAGAGTTCAATGAGCAGAAGAGGGAGGTTGTTGGCTAAGACAAGAAGTAAAAACTATCGATGAATAAGTATTTCAATCTCCCAGTGATGTCTGGAACTCTAAATTGGTATTAAGCTGTTATTTAAGAATATTTCTAATTAGTCTGCACACTTGATCTGATCTGAAAATACTTTAGGTACTACTCAGCATGCTCTGTCCCAAATAAGCAAAAGGCAGCTCAAATCTGCTTGCAACTCTGAGGAGATGCCTCTTGTGACACTGAAATGTAAAGCATTCTCACAATTCTGAACAAAATGAGTTTGAAATCAAACCTCAAGACAAAAGATGAGTATTAACTGTCACCACCTACAGGCTAACCTCATGAATTTTAATAATTCTGAATCCAGATAACTGTAGGATAGATACATTTTCTAGCTGAATGTTGTATTTGTTTACTGAGACGTTGCTGGGTAACTGACGCATTGTTCTAACGACCTACTCAGTTTGGGACCCTCACAAGCAAAACCAAATAGGGCCTTACAGTCTGAACAGATTATGAACTATGTAGATATCATGAACAAGTCTCTCCCTATCGCCCGACCTCGTTAAGATTTGAAACAGCTTCATCATTACAAATAATGCCACCAAACGCTTTCAAAGCATTTAGCAGTGGATATTTTTAAGAGCAGTGCCCATTGATTATGGTCAAAAGTTGGACACTAAATATTTACCCAGCATACACAAACGTATTTTAAATACTATCTCACTAATGACAGCCAACATCGCTGTCATCGAGGCCAAGAAAAATGTATGGCTTTTTTTTATCATAAATGAAATTGGAGGTACTTAACTGGCTACACAACCACCATGCTGGAGCGCTTCAAAAAACTCCAGTCTCACGTGCCTTTAATTGGCTACGGAACAAGCCTCGCAGCCTACTTTTCTAACACTCTCGTCAATTCCTTTACAAAGAAAATAGGGATTCAAGGTCAGGTTGTGGAGCATGGGGGAGTGAGTATTCCAAACTACGGACAAGGTGCTACCCCCAGAAAGAGGTTACGTACCAGACTAACACACAGTCCTTGCAACTTGCACACATACAACTTAAGTGACCGGAGTTCTGGCTGCACTTGGCACCGAGGGACACTGCCACAGCTCCAACCATCCGCACCCACTCAGCTTGGCTCCTGGAGGCATTAGGGCTGAGGGTTTGAGTCCTACAGCCGAGGGTCGGCCCAGCCCGCCACGCCTGGGGACGTCCCGGCGGCCGCGCGCCGCGCAAGCCCCAAAGGGCCCAGCGGGCTCCTCCGGCCCCCTCCACTAGGCAAAGCTGAGGTATCTCGAGAAAGCTCCGAGGGCGGCGGCGAAAAGCCCCGCTCCTCCTCGGTGGACCAGTCTCCTCAGGCGCGCAGAGCCAGCCCGAGCGCTCACTTTCTGGAGGAATCGCCGCCTCAGCTCGCCGCCCCTCCAGCCCGGAGGAGCGGGCTCGGTCCGCAGACCCAGCCACGCGCCAACCAGGAAGTCCCGCCCCCACGCCGACGTCACCCACGCACGGACGCCGGCCGCGGCTGGAGCCGTTAGGGAAGAGGAAACCGAACTGAGGCTGGAGCGGCCGCGGCAGCGGCAGGTCGGTGTCCGGCCCAGGACGCGCTCCTGGGGGTGCCCTGAGGTCACGCAGAATTTCCCAGAGCCCCAAGGAGCGGAGAATCTAGCCCCGGGCACTCGCCTCAATGACCCAGAGTGGCGCGGGTCGTTGGCGCGGAAAGCCTGTCTCCCTAACCTCGGGCCAGGGCAGCGTCTCTAGGGGATTTCCCCTTTTTCTGCCTCTCCTTCCCTCCTCTCCAAGGGTCTCGGCGGTCGTCCTGCCGCCACCTCCGCCCGCCCGCCCGACCGACCGACATCGAGCTTGTGGGTGCAGATTTGCGGGCTCCTGAAGTCGCCTGCCTACTACTTCTGTCTTGGGGCATCAGCCCACGAGTGGGCAGTCGGCCCAGCTTGCCACGAGAGAACTCTCAGGTCAGGACCAACCGCCCACCGAGAATCCCCGCCGCACCTCCTGCTCCATATCCCTGAGTTGTCCCCAAATCGGGGCCCACTTAGGGTAACATGGTTGTCAACAAGTTGGAAGGGAGGGTACAACTAGCTTTTTGAGAACTTGTATTATAACCCCAGGGCTGAGATAAGGTGGGCTTTCCTTTCAGCTTTTCAAAATAGATGTTGGAAGAAACACGCACCTTGCCTTCCCCAGTATTTGTTCCTTGCCTTGTTTGGGGTTTGACCGCCAACATTAACGTTTTTCAGGCTGTAGTCATGATTAGAAAGGCAACAGATGGCTGACCATTTCTGTTGAAATGAAGAAATAAGGGTCATTAGAAAGGTAATAGATTACATGTATATTACATGGCAGATATTTCGAAGAATCCATAGAAAGTCTGGAAATAAATTCCTGTGTACTTACATTTAGTGTAATAATGATAGCTCACATTTGCTAAATACTTATGTAGCAAGTACTGGAGTCCTTTTTCAGGCCATTTTAGTGAACCCTCACATCTCTGTAAATAGGTACAGTTATTATCTCCATTTTATAAAATTACCTAGAATCATTACTTGTAAATGTTCGAGGCTACACAACTCCAGAAATCTTTGTTGTAGCCAATAAACTATACATTACAAATCATTGGTCAGTGAGAAAAAGATTATTCAAGAAATGAGTGGCCATTGGAGGAGGCTGTACAGCTGTCTCGTTTCTCATGTTAAAATAAATACTAGATGAATTAAAGACTAGAGGTAAAGAATGAAGCCTGGTAAGGTGGTGTACTTCTGTAGGCTCAGCTGCTTGGGAGACTGAGGCAGGAGGATGGCTTGAACCCAAGAGTTGGAATGCAGCCTAGGCAATATAGTAGACGCCATCTCTGGAGATGGGGGGGGGACCATAAAAATGGGAGAAAATTAAGGTGAATGCTTATAAACTAGAAGTAAGAAAGACCTTTTCCAATGAAACAATCAGAAGCCTTGAAAAAAGAAAATGGTAAATTTAACTACAGGGTGTCCCAAAGGTTACCATTCATACAGACATAGAGAAAATGGGAAATTGTAGTTAAATCTACCTTTACTTACAAATATTTACTACAAAAGTTTACAAAATATTTCTCTATATGTTGGTATATAAATATTCAAAAAAACATTAAAACTATTAAATGTAATAAAAATAAGAGTTTGTTAATTTGTTCTATTTATGGTGACCTTTGGAACAATGAAGCAGTGGAAAATAAATTCGTATTACTTACATCATATCATTTGTATACCATATGAAAAAATTCATAACATACTCTCAGGAAATTAATTAAAAATGTAAATACCTCAATTAGTGAAAGTGGCAAAAGATAACATGAGAGACTAGACATTCCAAAGCCAAAAACCCAAACATCCAAATTACTAAAAGATGTCCAACTTCCGAATCTTTTTTTGTCTATTGGTGTTGATAGGCATGTGGGGATACAATTACTGTTCTGCATTATTGATGTGAAAATGAATTTTTATCTTATCAAAATTTAACATATCCACTAACCTTTATCCTAGCAATTTCATTTCCTAGGCATTTACTCTAAAGAAAATTAAAGGATTAACACAATAATTATGAGAATGACACGATGGCTATGTTAGCCAGTTGGATGAGAGTTTTTCAAACTGTATATGGAAGCAACACACTGTATCCTATGATAGAATTAATGTACACAATTATGATCTAATAAAAAATAATTAAAGGAAAAAGAAAAATTCACAAAGGTAATTTTTGCCACCTTTTTTTATAATATGATGTCTAGAAAAAGCCTAAGTGTCCACCACTGGGACACTAACAAAATTATAATGCATGCATACAATGGAATACTCTTCACCCATTAAACACTATGTAAATTTGTTTATTTATGTGAAAACATACAAATAATATAGATTGGGGTCCCCCACGCACACAGGGAAAAAAGAGTACAGATTAGCACATACTTTCTCAGAATGGACATAAAGTTGGTATGCAGTTTACTATGTTAAACTATTTTAAATTGCACATGAACTTTATGGCCACTCTGTATAAGTGTACAAAAAGATCTGAAAGGATGTTAGTTAAAATGCAAGTGATTTTCATCTTTTGGACTTTGCTGTCTTAAGGGGGTTTATTTTATTTAGGATATAAAAGTATAAGTTTATTTTACCTTAGAAGAGAGAGTAAGAGGAAAAGAGAGTAGGGAAAAAGAGGAGGGCAGAGCGCAGGAAGATGGTGTGGCATCCCAAGAAAGAAAAGGAAGAATGCCTACAGATTGAGGGGATTTTTTTAATAATAGATTGATTTATCATTTTTACAAAAACAAAGTTGTGTTTTTAAGGTATGCCAGTGAAAGGGGGTCCACTTGACTGCAGGTCTTTACTAATAGGTAACCATGGTGAAGTAACTATGTCTGGGGCTCTGATTCTCAGCTTTTTCCTGCCTATAAATTTGATTATATTTATTTGACTACTGGAGAAACTGACTTACCACTTGGATCATGATTTTTGACTTACCATCGTGATTAGGTATCCTTCCTCTGTGTACTCCTTGTAGCATCTGTTGCACAATGATTTCCTCTTTCTGTCACTATCCACACACATGCATAATGACCTTTTTCTACCATGTGTTACACATTATTTTTTTCTTGATTTTTTTATTTGTCACATTTCTGAACAGAAGTTTTTATTCTAACATAGTCAAAAAGCTGATGGAATTATATAGATCTTAGGTATTTTGAACCATTTTATGCCAATAAATTCAGTCACTTAGTTGAAATAGACAATTCCTGAAAAAAATACATATTAGCAAAACTGACACAAGAAGTAAAGGAAAATATAAATAGCCCAATATCTAGTAAAGGAATTAAATTTCTAAGCAAAAAACTTCATACAAGGAAAACCCCAGGCCCAGTGAATTTTGTCAGACATTTAAGGTAGACAAGGTATCAATCATACACTATCTCAGAAAACAGAATGGGAAGAAACACTTGTAAATTCATTTTATGAGGACAACATAATCCTGACACCAAAAAGAAAATCACCAATATCTCTCATAAATACAGATATAAAAATTATTAAAATAGGGCGGCGCCTATGGCTGAAGGAGTAGGGCATTGAGACAAGAGACCAGACTGGGCAGATGGGCCAGACTCCATCTTTCTCCAAAAAAAAAAAAAGAAAGAAAGAAAAGGCTTGGAGCCTATGGCTCAAATGGCTAAGGAGGCAGCCACATACACCTAAGGTGGCGTGTTCAAATCCAGCCTAGGCCCACCAAAACAACAATGACGGCTGCAACCAAAAAATAGCTGGGTGCTGTGGCAGGCACCTGTGGTCCCAGCTACTTGGGAGGCTGAGGCAGGAGACTTGCTTGAGCCCAGGAGTTGGAGGTTGCTGTGAGCTGTGATGCCACAGCACTCTACCCAGGGGGATAGCTTGAGGCTCTGTCTCAAAAAAAAAAAAAGAAAGAAAAAAGCCAGGCATGGTAGCACATGCCTATAGTCCTAGCTTCTGGGGAAACTGAGGTATGGGGAATCACTTGAGCCCAGGAGTTCAAGGCTGCAGTTATCTATGATTGTGTCACTGTACTCCAGCCTTGGTGACAGAGTGAGACCATGTCTTTAAAAAAAAAAAAATCCAATTTTAGAAGGGAAAAAAGGATTAGAATAAACAGTTCTCCAAAGAAAATATACAAATGGCCATAGACACATAGAAACATGCTTAACATCATTAGTTGTTAAAGAAATGCAAATCAAAACCATGAGATATCACTTCACTAAGATGGCTATGATAAAAAAGAACAATAAAACAGGTATTAGGATATGAAGAAATTAGAACTTTCATTCCCTGATGATGGAAATGTAAAATGGGCATAGTTTGGCTCCTACATACATACCCATATAAATTAAAAAATAGCAATTCATACACAGATGTTCACAGCAGCATTATTAATAATAACCAAAAAGTAGAAACAACACAAGGTTCATCAACTAATGAATGAGTAAACAAAATGTAGTATATCAGTATATTCATACAATGGAATACTATTCAGCCATAAAAGGGATGGAGTACTGATTTATGCTACAACACTGAAAAATTTAAACACATCATATGCTAAGTGAAAGCTACATATTGTGAATATTATGAGATTCTTCCATTTATATGAAATGTCCAAAACAGGCAAAGCCACAGGGAAAGAAAGTAAGATAAGTGGTTGTCAGGGCTTGGGGACTGAGGCAAGAGGGAGTGACTGCTGATAAGTATAGGATTTACAGTTGGAGTGATGAACATGTTCTGGAATTAGTGGCAGTGGCTGCACAACTTTGTAAATATACCATAAATCATTGAATTATACACATTAACGTGAATTTTATGGTACATGAATTGTATCTCAACTTTTGTAATGGGAAGAAAGAAGTACAGT